CGTTTGAATATTCTGTTGGCCTGCTTTCTCTAGTCCCCTTATCAGAATCCCCCACCGCTGCATTTTCTGAGTCTGTCACAGAGTGGCCACAGCATAATATGTAAATCTGCTCCTTAATGCTCCACTTCCATTGGCCTAAAAATCCACTGAGCACATCATCTGTTAAGTGCTTCATGTTTATATGTTGCTCTGGGTGATGCTGTGGTGTTGAGTGGAGGCGGAAAATAGGTCACCCTCGGCAAATAAGTGAAGACAGCAGGTGTAACACTGCTGCCATGAGTTATACAACATTGATGAACAGAAGGCGGTGGATTAAAGGAAGGGGAAATAAGTCGTGTTTAATGTATAGGTGTGTGTAGAACACTGGCAACCTCTTTCTTGAGGTAAATCAATATGAGACACAGTGTTCCCAGGGAAGAAAATGAACCCCATTTAACATGTGTGCATGCAAGCATCGTAAGTGCTCACATTAAGGCCCGGACACACCGGCACGATTTCGGCCGTCGATAGATGTCTGGCCGTCGATGAGCGTCCTGTCGCCCTACTCAGATTGGTGTGTCCCGCACCGTCGTGTCTTTTCGGCCGTGCCGACACCTTCTGCCCCCGATTCAACATGTTGAATCGGGAGGCTGTCGGCAAAAGGCTGTCGGCAAAATACGTGTGCATGCTGGCAATGATGTGTTAGAGTACAAAGAGAGATGCAGAGCCTGTGCATGTTTAAAACATCTTATTCATGAGCCTTGTTTACGTCAAACATTTGCTTTCTCCAGATATAAAGGCTTCTTTGCACTTGGAACTCTTAGCATTTGCCTAACAGATATTGGTAAGCAAATGCATCTGCCCTCATATATGTTTTTTTTATTGATTTAAAGACCGGTTATGCTCATTTTCAGGTTGATCTTTGTATTTTGTGTCTCTTTAATGTTCAAAAAGGTCTTTATTTTTCTCATACTGCCTGTGCTGCAGCACCTCTTTTCACCCTCCGTCTGAAACCAGAGCCCAGTCTGCTCTGATTGGTTAGCTGACCGGCTCTGTTGTGATTGGTCAACTGAGATGTGTAGGAAATGTCCCGCCCCGTACAATGTGTTGCAATAGAAGAGTGAATACAAGCTTTGGGATTTTAGCCTTTGCAGACCATTTTTATGCACACAAACCTATATAACACACTAAAAGAGAGGGAAAACCCCAAAAGCACAATAGGGCCCCTTCAATATTTGTTCAGTTCAAAAGTCCAAGTCATATGCAGCTAATTGTGAGAGAGTGATTCCCCTTCTCAAGCAACTTTCAATCCCAACCAACAGTCTTTACCAGTGGATGACGTTTGCTCGTTTGTCATTAATAGAGTCAGTGGTCTCAGTTTACCTCAGTTTGCCCCTCATCTATAACCACAGCTGAGGTGCCCTTGTGCAAAGCCCTCAGGACTTCAGTATGCTTCAAACTAAAAGTGCTTGATGGATCAGAGGCAGGCTCATTTTTTAAAGAAAATGGGGGATGACAAAACCTACCTATGATTTATTATGAGACTAAATAAAACCCCTTTGCCACTTGCCGCTTACTTTGTGCCGAAAACTTGGAAAAGGGCACGCTCTAAATGCACTTGAACCATGCACTTTACATCATGAGCTATAAAGTAGATCCTTTAAATAGGACGCTTGATGTTTCTGATATTTCTGACATTTCCAAGTAGAGTACCATACTAAATGCATTGCAACACTGTTACATATTCTCCCCACCTCTCATTAAACACCTGACCTCCACATGCCTGCCTTTTTCTACTTGGTACACACCCTCGCAGGCCAAGTGGCAAAGGTCACAGATTGTACTCCCTGGAGGACATGGCATATGGGAATGAGGCGAAAATGAAACATGGGGTCTTGAGTTGAGCTTTAATTTCCCTGGGGCTGCACACGCTACCTCAGGATATCTTCTGATTACAATTGGAGAGTTAACCCTAATAAATTCCAGGCAGGCACCAGTGATTTCTGACAATGGAGGGATAAATGGTGGACGTTGAAATCTATGAATGGCCCTGCAGCCCATCAGCAAAAACGTACAATAAGCTATGAGGGAGGAGACGAAGAATCGACATTTCACATTCATGAATGCTACCCGAATCATTTGGAGAACACAGAGGCGGGGAAAGAAAAAGGACTGCAAGCAAGGAAGGAAAAATATCCTTAGAATAGACATAGTAATTAGCCAATATGTGATGAAAACAGCTGTAAAAAAAATATGGGGTCCAATCTACCAACAAAAATACCTAGTTGGATTTCATTTCCTCCATCCAGAAACATCTAAATCTACTTTCAACATGGATAAATAATCGTCCATTGTCTGTTCATAAGCCTTATAAAGTCTCTAAACAATACAAAATGTCCAGGATCAATTACAAATAGCTCGAATATGCTACGACCGCGCTGCATCATGTGTCAGGAGTGCTATCAGCTAAGCTATAACAGGGAGTTCAAAGTGAAACCTGCTTTCTGCGCTCAGAAGATATCCTTGTGGTAGTCTTAATAATTCTGTTATGTGATAAACCTCAGAGGGTTACATATCGGCCAGTCCCTTTTAAACAAAACTTCTGCTCCAGGAAAAATGCCCGTAAATAAAAAAGAGGTTTATGATGAAAGTATGTTTGGTCATGGTAAATGGACTGTACTTACAGTATATAGCGCTTTATCCAGTCTTTACGACCCCTCAAAGCGCTTTACATACTACATGTCACCATTCAACCTTTCACACCGGGAGCATCTCAAGGTTAAGTATCTTGCCCAAGGATACATCGAAATGTTGAATGCATGGGCTGGGATTCGAACCCACAACCTATTTTTGAAAGATGACCGCACTCCCTCGCAGCCCAGTCATATTTCAGTATAAGAAGCCTCTGTTTCCTGATCTACTCCTGTTCTGTTCCTCAACACTTCCTCCATGTTTACCTATTGTCTTGCTCTTGTCAGTAAAACATGTCATACTCACCCTGAGCTGCCCTGAGTTTATCTTTTCAAACACAAATACTTTTACACTCACTATATACCACTTTAATCAAGCTGTAATTGGTTCTACTCTGCCTTTTTTGTTCAGTGTTATAAAAAAAAAACCAATACAACTCTTATTAAACTGATATTTCACATTTAAAGGCTTTCCAGCAGCTTAAACAGCATAATCCTTCATTTGGGAAATGAAAAAACATTAGCAGGAAGTGCTGTGTTTTCTCGATTGTGGCTTACACTGCCAAAACAAAAATGTAGAGGTGATTGGAATGAATGAACATAATATTTCTGTTAGGAAAAGATAGTGAAAGAAGCGGAGGGGTGAATAATGGAAGTAGTGAAAATCTGCTGAATTTACCAACTGGGCCATTAGGGTTATTCTAGTTCTAGTAATTAAATTGCTTTTTTTTTAGGATAGTGTGTGGTTACTATATGTTAACTCCTTGCCTCATTACTTTCTTGGAATAAATCCCTTGCATGATGGTGGCCTATAAGAGCCTGATACATTTAATGACCAGATAAAATAAGAGCTGTGCTGGCTGAATCATGGCACTGCATCGGCCCCTCCTCACTGTCATCAAGTAACATGAAGAAAGCTGAAGCCTGAGAGTAACATTTATTGAACGTGTCTTGCTGGACTGTGATGCTTTAAAGATAATGGGGCAGGACAGTTTGGCCAGACTGGACAGTAAAGGGAATTGGTTGCAGAGGTGCTGCATTGGAGTCAACTGCTAATTAAGATTGATCCAAACTCCTTCTGGCTGTGCTGCACTATTGGACGGCACACCCTATACATCTTTGAAGTGACTCACCACCGCCTCCTTCCCTCCTCCTGTCTACCTCAATATTTACACTCTCCTCCTTTCCCTACCTGCCAGGGATACACTCGCAGGACTTTGTGTCCTATCGCCTCCACACTTCTTGTATGTCTTCTTTCTTAACTTTAAGGTCTGACTTTGCTAACAAAAAGTGCTTTTCTATCGTCTAACAGTCTCTGAAACCTCACTTCCAATCGCAGAATCGGATAGGGCTGCGTTCAACAAAGTGTGAAGCAATTAGGCAACTAGTTAGTCACACGTGTGATGGTTTGGGAAGTTTTCATACTGTAGCTGTTTCAATCAGACACAACGGAAATCTGAGTAAAGATCCTGGTGTCATAGAAAGGGTTGAGGAGACCCCAGATTGTTTACATATGTAATGCCTTCATCGTTGAAAGATGAGCCCTATGTTGTTTAAATGAAAACTGACAGCAGTTGTTGCTTGAGATAGAAGGTTAAACCCCGCCTCCTTTCTCACCTTCTTAGAGCTGGCCAATCACCGTGAAGTGGTGGTGAATGACGGCTCGTCTCATTTGAATCTGAGAAAAAAATGAGCTTTTCTAATTTGATGTGAGAACATTTTCGGAAAGGGTTTCCAAAGCTGCTCTAACGTCCAAAAAAGCAATTCTAAATAAGCATCCTTGAACAGACAACCCGACAATCATGCCTCCTTAATGCATTGAACATCTTCACTCTTAAGCTTTCTCTTTTCAATTTTAACAACTTCTTTCAGTTCATGAAAACATAGCAAGCTACTTGTTCAGCCTTCTAACACCACCTGTGTAACACAAAGCTTCAATCAACGACTCCACAACATATTGATTTAAAAGGAACAATCCTACATGTTGAGTAATGGTGGTGATTTTCTCCACAGGAGTGATAAATCAACCGTTCTTGAGAACACGTGGGGAGGGAGAAGATAACTTAAGACCGACAGCTGCTGAGAGAGATTTAGTCTGACACTAGGCATTGATGGGGAAGTTCATTTGAAACCCACAGGGCTACAATAATATTGATTATTGTTACAATTCCAATAAATAGAGCAACTGGCTGATGTCCTTTAACCATAACATTTAAAACACAAAGAAAAGATAGTGTATCATCAGTTTCAAGACAAAACAAACACTAATGGGGAAAATAGTACCTGCACATTCAGTGAAATTGTGATTATAGTTAAATAAAAGTGAATTACCTTTGAACTTGTGAAAGACGGCCCAGAGCTCGGCGATGTCGGTTGCGAATGTGATGTCCGTATCCAGGACGATGACCCTCTGCAGGTCGGACGGCAGCGTCTTAGTGAGCACCAGCTTCATCAGGCCGTAGATCCCAGAGTAATGCTTGTTGGGGATCCACGACACCTCAGACTGACACAGCAAACAAAGCAAGGTTGGAATTATTTGCTGTTAAATTGACTGGATTTAAAAAACATGTTGTTTATATAAACATCTTTCTCAATAGTTAGGTTAACAGAACTTCTCCAGAGGATAAAAGAAGACGGCAAACAGATCATTAAGCACTACGACACATCAAATGAAGTTAAATTCAGTGTCCATGAGAGAAGTTAGGAAAAACATAGGTGAAGAGGAGATATGTTCTTCACCTTCAGCTCATCTGCATCGTAGAAGTCGACGCTAACGGCAGGGACCATCCAGGTGTGGAACAGAGAGGACAGGATCTGCTGAGCTATGGAGTCTGTGATGAAATGGAAATGTAGTGGGTTCCGCCTGTGGACAAAAACAAATACCCAAACATGAAAAAGCTCTAGGATCTTTTACAGCAAAAACATCCTGATTCAAATGTACTCAATTCAAAGGTTCAGACAGAGAGTTCTTTGCCACACACACACACACACACACACACACACACACACACACACACACACACACACACACACACAACACACACACACCACACACACACACACACACACACACACACACACACACACACACACACACACACACACACACACACACACACACACACACACACACACACACCACACACACACACACACACACACACACACACACACACACACACACACACACACACACACACACACACACACACACACACACACACACACACACACACACACACACACACACACAGTAGGAACTTTTCACCACTGCCACATGCTGAATTATTTCTCAAAAATAAAAGTGGTTTGGGGTTTTCATACAGAATATAAAATAGTGCCAGATGATACAATAGTCAAAAGATCAATACCTATGCAATAACAACCGAGATATGTTGACTTTACGTTTAGCTTATTGGTCAATCACCAATAACCATAGATCTTTTATTTCTATATTACTTTATAGCATATTTCTTATAATACTAGCATATAACCAATATGTAGCACAGGCCTTGTACTACAAAAGACAACTCAGATGTCATAATACAACTGGTTTATTAGGCAGAGTAGTACTGTCCATGACAAGGCAATTTAATTTAACAGGGGCTGGCTTTGAAACATCAGTATATTTTTTTATGTACAGACCAAAATCTATCCATAGCACAGAGTTTCAAAACATAACATGATCAGATATATCATTCTGTTTACACACGAACAGAAAGCCCCTGATTCTAATCCGAATTTTGACACATTTGGGAAAAATAACTAGCTAATTCTGGTTGAGGATAACATTACATTACATGTCACTTGTTAGACGCTTTTATCCAAAGCAACTTACATACTCAATACTGTGGACAATCCCCACAGGAGCAATTTGGGGTGAAGTGTCTTGCCCAGGGACACAACGACATGCTGACTGCAGTGGGGTTTGAACCTGTGACCGCCTGATCCGAACACCAACGCACAGCCCACTGCACCACACGCCTCATAAGGGGTCTTATAGAAGAATATATACATTCCTTAAAGGGGACCTATCATGCAAAATGCACTTGTGTACGTCTTTTATACATGAATATGTGTCCCCGGTGTTCCAGGGAACTCACCAAGTGTCAGAAAACACAACCCTCTCTATTTTCCTCCATACCCAAATCTCTAAAAAAGGGGCTGCAACGGATCTGATAAAAACTGATCCAGATTTGAACACTTTACTGACGTCAGGACAGTGGCGCTACGGCTATTGGGCCAACTCCACCAATCAGGAGGAGACAGCCACGGCCATTGCCGTTCGAAAGCGCTGGAGACGCTGTAGTAAATATGCCAGGCCTGTAGATGGTGCTGTTCTCACTGAATCAGACCTTGCTAAAACAGATCTAAAAAATGTCAAATTGAGCAAAATGAGGCATGGCTAAAATGCATGATCTGTTTGGTATTTTGAAAAAGAAAAAGTATAAATATGCCTTATATAGGTATGGTCCTACACTATATTATTCAAATATAGCATGATAGGTCCACTTTAAGTATGGTTATTACAAAGGTTACTGTGTTTGTAATGGTTCTGAGACTCAGAGATGTTATTGAGCAAGACGTGTAAATGACACTGAAACCAGCCTGCCTTCTGCTCATGTAGACCATGTGATAAATGAAAACTCCCTGAACAAGCGACTAATTGCTGCTTGAGTAGAGAATGTTTAGTCAACGATATAGTTTGGAAATGAGTGCATGCAGTCAGCCCTGATGCTGGTGAAGTGAAGGAGTCGATTCATCAGAAAAAGAAGCGTGCTCTGAACTGTATCTTACAGTTCGCACACATGGAAGAGTGGGAGTATGCAAAATAGGTATTCAAGACTTCCGAATCAGGTCAAGAAATAGTGACACTGAGCTGAGGATGTGAGCACCCTCGGGTGTCTTGTGCTGAAAGACTTTGGGAATGAATGTGTCAGCTGCATCTTCTCAATAAGTACCGGGGGGCTGTGAGCTGTCAAAATGTATCGGAACTATGACTCCATACAAGCTGTCAGCAACAGCAGTGAGAATAAAGAAAGGGTCTTTACATCCCCCGGACAAACAGCAACAAGCCATTCACTGGATGCTTGGAATCCTGCCGCTACAGAACCAAGTATATCAAGAGCATCCTGATCATCAGAACTGGGCCCGTGATGATCTAATCTTCATAATGCAATATGTTATCTTGTTTTAAAGACTTTCAGAGCGCACACTCTTACAGATTCTCTCTCCCTGTGCTCATTGAAGGGCTGATCTGAACCTGAGCATGTATCTCTGTGTAGTCACTTCCAATTACTGGTTCCAATACCTAATGTCAACATACTGGATGTTGAGATTGAGTTTTCATTTTAGATTCATAAATAGCACTAATCTTTCTTTAGAAGCTTTGTCTCTTTGTAGTCCATGTGCATCTCTTTGTAGTCACATTGCGTCTCTTTATATTAGTTGGATCGCCTTTGAAAAAAAAAAATTGTGAACAGCCACATCAAAGTTAAAAAGGTTCTAATAACAGCTTTAATACACCAAAGCATTTCAGTTGAGCATAGCTCCATCTCTTTTACTTACAAACCAAAACTAACTTCCTTCTTTTTTTAATCATCAAGGACATCGAATGTCTATCCTTTCCTTTCCTAAATATCTTTTTTGTGAATACCCAATCTTCAGGCCAGAATCAATTCCATTAGGGTTAGAGTTGCAGTGGATCACATTGGTGCATCCCTGTAGTGTAGAGCAGTGGCTTTAGCCGATATCAATTTAAATATATTTTTCTCAGTGGTTGTTCAAATCAAATCAAATCAAATCAAGGTTTATTTATAGAGCACATTTAAAAGCGATTTTTGGTCGGGCCAAAGTGCTGTACATGTAATAACTACAATCACATAAAAACACATTTCTATAATCACAATAAAAGACAATAAATTACAACAGATATTTAAAAAGAAAACACAGGGTTAAAGTCAGGAGTCGTGCTCCGCTCTGACTAAAAGGCCAGGGAGAAGAAGTGTGTCTTAAGAGTAGATTTAAAAACCCCTAGGGTCTGGGCCGACCTCACATGGAGGGGCAGAGTGTTCCAGAGCCTCGGGCCAGCTGCTGCGAAGGCTCGGTGCCCTCGGGTTTTGAGCCTGGTCTTGGGCACTATCAGCAACAGCTGGTCAGCAGACCTTAAAGCTCTGGCTGGGGTGTAGCGCTGGAGGAGTTCGGCTATATAGGCCGGAGCCAGCCCATTTAGTGCTTTAAAAACAAATAAAAGGAGTTTAAAATCAATTCGGAACCGAATTGGAAGCCAGTGCAGTGAGGCCAGAATTGGGGTGATGTGGTCACGTTTTTTGTGGCCAGTGAGTAGACGTGCAGCTGCGTTCTGGACTAGCTGCAGGCGTTTAATTGACGCCTGGTCCATACCCACGTACAGAGCGTTGCAGTAGTCCAACCTCGAGGTAACAAAGGCATTAATAACCCTTTCCAGGTCCTCAAACGATAAAAACGACTTAGTCTTGGCCAATAGTCGTATTTTAAGGGCACTCCAAGGTTCGTGACAGAGGGGAGGATATAATTTGTAATTTATTGTTGTAAGCAAGCATGATACGATGACATCATTTGGATACAATGAGTTGTTTTCGATCTAGTTTGGAAGTGTGAAAGTGGAAACCAGAGAACTTGGATAATGTATGATTGTCAACCTTCACAAATCATTGACATCCATTGTGGTTTATCTCGCCTATGTCCACATATCATGACCATAACATGAGTTGCAGTAACTACTCCTTCCACTTACAGGGTTAGGGTTAGGGGTTAGGGTTAACCCTAACATCTGATAGAACAGTTTTCATGTGTACTGTATATCCACAAAAAGTCACTTGTCAGTAATAAATAAATAGGTTAAAGCAGAGTCCTGATGCTGTTTTTTCTGGTGAGGGCAGTCTCGGATTATCCCAACAGGACAGCTGCTGTCGGACAGATGTGAACGATGAGAGGCCCTGCCATCTGACTGAATACAGCAGAAAGCTGCCATCTCTCATGTGGGACAATGAGCTTCTACAGAGCTCTCCATCACTGAGCCATGAGATGAACTGGTGGCCGATATTAGATTTACAGCGCAGGTTAAACAACATATGGCTGGCTGGGAATTACCTCACAGTGTAGTACAGTCACTGGCATATATCGCTTGAATCTTGTTTCACGGTGAATTTATTACATATCCAATATTCCATCACAAATCGACAATATAGAGACGAAATCCAGGTGGAGAGTATTTGATAGAAGCTGCATGTCAGCTTATCTCAGGGTCAGGTGGTGTTTGACAATCAATGTCCCATCTCATCCTTTCGATCATTCAGCAGAAAGCGGCATGCGGGATGACATTCCAAAAGTCTGACCTCTCGGGCATCTGTCCATTCACATATTTGTCACTCAGCGGAAACACAGAGAGCCAACATTTAAACTTCCCCTCTGATTAAACAGGGCCTGCAGGCGTTAGCACATTAGCTATGCTGCTGGTGATCGGTCCTCCTCAAGAAAACTTCAACAGTCAACTGATAAATTATGGGGGGGGGGGGGGGGGGGGGGGGGGTCTGTAACTTCAGCCTGCACGAGTCCTCCTTTAGGTGGAGGTCATTCTATAAAGCACTATATTAATCTCGGGAGAACAGTTATGCTGAGGTCTTAAATGTATAATTTCTTCTGACTGCTCTACAAATTTGGTCAAAGCAAATAATTGAATGACTTTTTGAAAAGCAGACTAATGGCGCTTGACTTCCTTGACTTCCTTTTTTCATATTTATATACTTGTTTAGCCTTTGGACAATAAAGACAGTCAAAAGTAATGCAGCACTTGATGCTTCCAACCATTGATCATGAATGGAATGGATTACTTAACTTAAAGGTAGGGTAGGTAAGTTTGAGAAACCGGCTTGAGATACACTTTTTGTTATATTCCATGGAATGCTCTTAACATCCCGATAGCAATGAATATCTTAAGTGCTTTGACAAAAAATCTATAAAAAAATTCATCTGTGGAAGCCGTAATACTGTAAAAAGCACGACCAATCATTTTAGCAGGCCCGGCTAAAATAACTGGATGGCCTACCTGCCTGTCAGCCTTCCATCTGTGCACAAACTTATCTCGTGCCCTCATTGGTCATGTGCGCGTTCGTGTGTGTTGGAGGAGGGGCTCTATAAGGAAGTGGCAGATTTTCTCCGTTTGTGTATTTTCAAATTCTAGCGATCTCGTGCCGGTTTCTCAAACTTACCTACCCCACCTTTAAGACAAAATCTAAATTTGATACTTAAGAGGGCAGTTCTGAAATTTAACAGAGCATCTTCTTAGATGATTTTTAAGCAGATATATGGACATCTGGGACAATGACATCATTAGTGTGTTCTGGTTTGAATTATTAGGTGAGAGATGTAGTACAGATGATTTCAGTTGGTTTAAAAGAGTTATACAATATGTTGACTTATGAGCAACCCCCTGTCACATTAAAGCATAATAAACCTCATGCCTGACCTTAGAAAATGTAAAACAATTATAGAGACCGTCCTTCTTACATTTTTCCAGTCATGATAGAAACAGTCTGAAGATGTATCAGCAATAGTTGAAGTTTCCAGCTGAATAAAATATCATTGCACTCATGATTAATTTACCTGCAAATCAGGAGCTAATTAAGATGGAGCCATAGAAGCTGTAATGCCCAATGCACAGGGACTGATTAATAATCAATCCATCTACAACTCATATTAAACCATTCATTATTCATGTTTACACAAGACGGCAAACAGCAAAGTTTCACACTACTTTACATTCATGTCAGATATTTTAACGTTGAAGTGCTGCAAATATTGCCAGATATGTACATAGATTTATTACCAAATGTGATTATTTCTGCTAATTACTGTTCTATAAATGGCATACATATAATTTCTAAGACATCTGGTTGGAGTTAGAAGGATATTAAGTGAAAAACAGAGCATTTCTGTACCTGTGGAAGAGGACGGATTTAACCAACGTCACCACATCTCGACTGGCGTTGTAACCTGCACACACGATGGCCACGTGTATCGTCTGATGGGTTATAAAGAATAGATAGAAAGAGGTTAGAAAAGAGAGAAATTCACTCTGCACAGAGAAGAGAAAACACAACAAAAAGCAAAAATGTATTTGTATTAACATTCAATTACCAGTCATTTGGTGGATGACGGGGGGGGGGATCTTTAACTTTACCCTGCTGCATGAGGTTGGGGTCATATTTATTCTATGGCTGTTTTACAATTTGAGGACTATATTGTATGTTAAAATGCTGAAAATAATGGCAGATATGTACATGTATTTATTACCAAATGTGATTATTTCTGGTAATTACTGTTCTATAAATAGCAGACATATCATTTCTAAGAGACCAGGGGCCTCATTTATAAACGGTGCATACGCTCAAAAGATGGCGTACGCCAGTTTCTAAGCAATCTTTGCGATTTATAAAAAACAAACTTGACGGGAAAATGTGCGGTCATCCACGCACACTCTGACCCATCCGTACGCACAAAAACGAGAAACTGCGACACCGTTGGCAGAAGGAAGAATGGAGAGAAATATGTGGAAATAATACCATAAATAAAATGTTACCTCTCATGTATCAAATACGAAGAATTCATTTCCACAAATTGATTAAAGCCAATCTTAAAATGATTAAACAAACGCTTGTTTGAGAATCCTCCACAAAAACATAACTTGGAGAAATAAATAAATACGGAAATGTTATTGATCACCCCTCGATTATGTTCTCTTGTTAAGAAATGTATTCTCATAAATGATGCGGTAAACAGGAGGACAGAATTACTTTAAACTGACGCCGTTTTGCATTTCTATAGGTTGTATAGATACGAGCATGGTTTTATATACTATCATGTTTTAATCATGTTTTACGCCGTTCGCCAAGACTTGATAAGTCGCTCGTAAAACACAGGAGGTATGGAAATTAAGAACACCATATGTGGTAAATTGTACAGCTTATATAACACAACACATTAGTTTTATTTCCTTAAACTGGTGGATATAGAGTTGCTGCGGGGGGGGTTGAGACGCACAGGCTGCAGTGGAGACGCTGCGCACAGCTGATCGACAGCTGGAACACAAACCACCAAATACAAAAAAATAATTCAGATCCAGTCGTCATGACTCCACTCCGGAGGGATTCTCCGATCATTTCTTACAGTTTCTCATCAAGGGGGTGTCTCCTGTCCCCGGTACAAACACACTGCCTGAGGAAGGTTAGGCTATGTGTATTTTTTTTGTCATTAACTTTTTTCGGACCACTTGTTTATTTCTTTTGGTGACGATCCGACCTCCATGCTGCTACTCTGGTTCAAACTGCATCCACCAAACAATATGATTTATCTCGACCTCCCCAAAATAACCTAAATCTGACACGGTGTGAGATGTCTTTTTTAGCTGTTCCGTCGTCATTTCCTGCGATCTTCTTCATGCAGTCAGTCAAAATGAATGAATGAATGGGCGTTTCTTTGACTATTTATAGGCAAATATGGGCGTTACGTGAAGCCCGCAAAAGCTGCGCTGCATTTCGAGTTGCACGTCCTACGCTGGTACGCAGTGTTTTATAAATCGGAAAATGTCTGTGCGTATGTATTTGCTTTGTCCTACGTAAGCAACCTTCCCACGTGAAGGCTTTATAAATGAGGCCCCTGGTTGTAGTAAGAAGGCTATTAAAGGTCACCTATTGTGCAAAATCCACTTTTTCATGTCTTTTATACATAAACATGTGTTTCAGGAAGAAAGACCCCCTCTCTTTTTGTCCTGATCAATTTATATAAAAACCTGTCTGAAAATGAGCTGATCAGATTTTGGCCACTTTATGATGTCATAACAAATATCTCTCAGAGGGGCGTGGGGAGGGGCTCCTTATTTTCATCTAAAGTAACAGACAGAGAATCAGCACTTTGGAAACAGGGCTGAAACAGAGGGGATTATGGGATGCTACAATGATCTGTTTGGTATTCCGAGAAAAACACTTAATTGACATATTTTGACCTATAATATATTGATGAAAAACAGTATAATGGGGGACCTTTAAGTGAAAATATTAAAGTGAAATTCATTCTGCACAGAGAAGAAAAAACACAACAAAAAGCAAAAGTGTATTTGTTTTAACAAGATAATCGTATTATTGCCCTGGACCTCTCCCTCACGGCCCTGAGTTATTGCTTCAGTTTTAGCTCTCCCTTAAACAAGATGTCTGAACTCCATGTGCACTTCCTCTCCACTCTCAGACCTTCTGCAGTTATCTCCCTGCGGGGGCGAGGGCAGCTGGGCTAACCCACTCTAGCCCTCCAACCGATGGTCATGTTCGAGCACTGCTGGAGGGGTGCTACAGTCAGACTGCCCTCTCTTTTTCTGTCCTTTTCACCCTGACGGCACTCTGCTCTCCCTGCAGTGTGCCGGCCTTGAACAGTGCCTGGCTGCAGCCGAGGACTGAGAGTGAGTGACAGCTGGTGTGGGAGGAAAGTAGAAGGTGGTGATAAGAAAAACAACTGAGGGCATATCCTCTCTCTGAGCGCTACACAGCAGAACTGCAGCAGAGAGACTGTCAGCTCCAAACCTCCTGGTATTTTCACTGCATTCTCATTATTCAGAACTACTGGATTATATAAATGTAATATGACATTTATTTTTAAAGTCTCTTTCCACCAATCTGTAGAGTGCACCTTAATATATTTAGTAAATGTTTGGTTTGAACTTTCATTCATTTACCAAATGTATTTAGTTTTGTTTCCTGGAATCATGGATTTAGTTTAAGTTATTCACTTAAAGGTAGGGTAGGTAAGTTTGAGAAACCGGCTCGAGATACACTTTTTGTTATATTCCATGGAATGCTCTTAACATCCCGATAGCAATGAATATCTTAAGTGCTTTGACAAAAAATCCATTAAAAAATGTCATCTGTGGAAGCCGTAATACTGTAAAAAGCACGACCAATCATTTTAGCCGGCCCGGCTAAAATGATTGGATGGCCTACCTGCCTGTCAGCCTTCCATCTGTGCACAAACTTATCTCGTGCCCTCATTGGTCATGTGCGCGTTCGTGTGTGTTGGAGGAGGGGCTCTATAAGGAAGTGGCAGATTTTCTCCGGTTGTGTATTTTCAAATTCTCGCGATCTCGAGCCGGTTTCTCAAACTTACCTACCCTACCTTTAATTTCTGGAATTCATACATACTGCACCTTTAAACTTGTACCTACATAGGGGACGTATCTCACTTTTGCAGTGCTTGTGTCCATATATTTTGATTCATGGTCTACCAACTGTGAAACAAGGTAAAAAAACATGGCATTCATCAAGTCATTCAGATAATGCTTCCTATGTTACAAGCAGGCCGAATACAACCCCGTATCTCATACAATATAACGGTTTCTTTGCTTGTGTGTAAGGAACAATATGGAAAAATAAGCATCTTAAAACAGGGCATTTTAATTGTATTAATAGTGCTTGAATATGAATTGATAGAATGTTATCTCACATATAATGCTCACTTTCAGGTTCATATTTGTATTTTGTGATGTGGAATTGATGATTGGAATGTGACAGAGCGCTAGCAAATAGAAGTGCGACTGATACATAGTGATGTCATCATGTTGCAGAAGTAAAGAAACTCCCTCTAGATTTGAGCCTTTGCAGACCATTTGCATGCACCAAAAATGATATAACACACAAATAAAAGCATAATAGTACCTTTTTAACAGTATTTAGGGATGAACTGATTACATTTTCTTTTAAAGGTAATTCTGAAACGTACTGTGTAAACCCATGAGCTTAATAGTCCTGAGCCAATATCCTGAATATGTACCATAACACCTTCCTACCTGCAAGTGTAGGCTTTTCTACTCATCCAGACAAACACCTACTGAGCTGAGAGGCGATGTGCTGTGTTGGTGTGAGGCACTATCACTGCAGGGATCAGAGCATGGCTGTGTTAAAGCGCTCACATCATCCAGCCTCCTGACAGCGAGCCATATCCCAACAGAGAGCCATCACTGCTGAGGATTAGGCTAATAGGAGGCTAAAGCCTAGATATAATATGCCAATGTGGTTCCTGGAAAACATCTTCAAGGTCATATTGCATTGCTGAACAAAAAGGTTATGAGTGGTGTGTTAGCAATGGGGTTTATTGTTCTAAAATCTTCTATAACAAATGTATATTAAAGGTCCCCTATTATACTGTTTTTCATCAAGATATTATAGTTCTCATATATATACAAAACATGTTTCTGAAGTGTTTGGCTCAAAATACCAAACAGATCATGCATTGTAGCATCCCATAATGCCCTCTGTTTCAGCCCTGTTTCAAAAGTGCTGATTCTGTGTCTATTACTTTAGATGAAAATAAGGAGCCACTCCCCACGCCCCTCTTAGAGATATTTGGTTAAAAAAACACAATGGTGCTCTAGGAGGAGATTCAGGTGATAAGGTGGGGGGGGGGTGGGTTTACCTTGGTTGGTCACAAGCCAAAAAATCGTTATGGCATCATAAAGTGGCCAAAATCTGATCAGCTCATTTTCAGACAGGTTTTTATATAAATGGATCAGGACAAAGAGAAAGAGAGAATCTTTTTTCCTGAAACTTTCAGAATCTCTTTACACAGAGGGGACACATGTTTATGTATAAAAGACATGAAAAAGTAGATTTTGCATAATAGGTGATCTTTAAACATATCTCACCTCGCACTTATCCACCACTGGCTGCTGCACACAGTCGGAGTTGTTTCCCGCTGCACCAGCTTTCTGCCCCTCATTTTCGCCGGTGCCCTCCTCTGAATGGGTTCGGCTCTGGTTGCCACGGTGACCAGCGTTCTGGAGGCGTGCAGACGGGCTCCTGGGGGGGCGGCTCAGCTCCCGGCGCAGTGCCCGGTTCTCCTCCTCCACGGCCCGGACACGCAGCTCTAAGGCCTGCCGATCAACGGCTCCGCCCACCGTCGTCGATGATTGGGCTTCCAATGGAGACAAGGGGAGGGGCTTCACTGTGGGGCAAAAAACAATGTGTAAGAGATAGAGAAACATAATGCAAGATGTGAAAGGTCTTGGTGTCGTTTTTTTTTCTGGAAGTTCAACAAATGAAATACACATTACAAACGAAAATGTGGTGAATCTGATATTTTTACAAGTGATATAACACATCCAGCGATGGACAGAGATGGCAAAAGTACACACATCCTTTACTCAAGTAGAAGTACAGATACTCTTGGTTAAAAATACTCTGGTAAAAGTCGAAGTACTGACTAAACTTCTTTACTCAAGTAAAAGTAAAGAAGTATGGGCTTTGAAATGTACTTAAGTAAAAAGTACCCATAACTACCAACTGTTTTAAAGAGTACCTGACCTCCCTTTATATTAATAGAACAATAATGTCATTGTTAGCTAATGAATGTTTCGATGCTGAACAACGGCAAAATTACAACGTTTTCATTGGTCCCTCTTCTTTAGAGAAGACCAGGAAATGATGGATACACGGATCGTGTTCAAATCAATAGGCACACAATGACTCTAAATAATAATGATCACACCACCAAACACAGATTAAAACTGAAGTAACAAACCTGTTTTCAAAATGTAAGAAGTAGAAAGTACAGGTATTTGTGTTCAAAATGTAAGTAGTAAAAGTAAAAAGTCGTCAGAAAAAGTTAGTGGAGTGAAGTACTGATACCTGAAACATGTACTTAAGTACAGTAACAAAGCATTTGTACTCCACTACTTCCCACCTCTGGCGATGGAAATAACCCCAACACAACCTGACACTTATAACAACGTCTGTAAAATCAAACAATTATTTATCGTTTCGCTGTATTCACTTTTCATTTAACGGTTGAATTAGATTTCCTGTAAACAAGCGACAAAGTAAAGCAATCAACCATAAAGCACATCAGATACTACATTAAGTGCTGACTCGGCACATGTGTTGACTGCCTGTCTTTTCTGGTGATTTATCACCGTAACTCTTTACGGTTTATACCTACATTTCTTTTTTTATTACACCTGGGCTGCGTTCCAAATAACATACACACTCCTTGCTTTTAGTATGTACTGCAGCTTCCCTCACAGAGAATGAACTGTTTCATGCAGTGGCTATACAATCTGGACTACTTAGTCATTACATCGTAGCTATGTAGGGATTGCAGGTCAATATAGCCATAAAAGTATGTCGGCTCCCATACTGCAGTGCGTGACAGGATGCAGAAGGACATCCTGGTATTTTTCCCATACTTCATTTCACACACTTTGTATCAAGACATGCTATATCTCTTTTCTAGCATATTAACTAGCATGGTAGTATTGGAATTGGGGCGTAAAGCTGGTTTGGTGTCTGCAACCAACAGCATGTTTACCTTTAGTATTTATAAATTCAATGCACTTTCAGGTTTTTAATCAGGATCCTTATCCCGTGACTTTAAATGCTCTTTTTATCTCCTCTTACATTATCATTAAATGTAGATAGCAACATCAGGGGTGTCAGCTCAGGTTATCCCGCTTCATGAATAATTATTGTAAGACCCATTGAACTCTTGTGGATCGGCAACTATAAACCTTGAATGCTTATCTAGATTATTATTGTACTTTAAAGCAACACATTCATGTTGTAGACCCCTGTCTTTTACTTAAAGGGGACATATAATGGAAGACTCACTTTTTCAGTTATTTGGGGTACGATGAGTGCCTTGAAAATACAAGCTGGGAAAAATACAACTCTATCCCAGGGACTGACGAATAACACAACAAAATGTAAATATGTAAATAGCTTAAGATTTATTTCAAAGTTAAAATGATATGTTATACATCTTCATTGGACTACCATACTCTCAAAAGAACTAGAAGACATAGAATTCTCTTTTTTATCATTGCACAAGGTACAGCAACAATTAGCGTACAATGCTACTGTATCTTCAAACAGAACTCTTCCTTAAGAAGCAGCTGTTTTTCATTGTTAAACTCTGATTTTCTTTGGGTTTCTCTATCATTATAATATCCCCCATAGGGCATATGGGGCTTTACATTTTAGGATCAAAGTGATGATATATCTCACGTTGGGGAGTACACACATATCTCTCCATCAGTGCTGTCAGAACAGCAGAGCATTTTGCACTCTGCCTATCTAATCCAAGTCAGTAGCAATATTCCTCTGCTCTTCTCTGACTGCTTCAAATGTGAACAAGCAGCCCTGAGTCTTCGAAGAGAGCCAGAGAGATGAATCTTTCGAGAAAAGATGAAGCTCTATTGGAAACTTCAGCTCCCAGAGGGGCGGGGGAGGCCTTGGTTGAAGATCATTAAATAATACAATGGGTTCTCCTCCACAATCTCACTGGGGAACACAGACAGCCTTGGAAAACTCCACATATTACAGTATGGCAGGAGCCCAGAGGCATTAGAGCTCGCATTACACGTATTGATCGGTGTTGGGTAATAGATGGCTTTCCAGGATGATACCATCTGTCATCTGTGTCAACAACCAGTTGCGTTCCCCCAACTGGGAGACTCCCTGGTCCCAGTTCAACACAGGCAGATAAACATCCCTGTACTGAGAAGGCCTACAGAGAATATACCAATACATTCCAACACATTTACAACTTTTTCATTAAATGAAAAGATGGCTGGAATGAATAAAAGTAATGTTCTCTTTGGTCTCAGCTCGGTGTTCTTTAACAATGTGTTTTAATGAATTGACTGATTGATTTCCTTCACATTTTTGTCCCTTGTGGTCATTTTATATTAAGGCAGTCAGAATGGGTCCTTTCAACCATGGAGGGTTACTAAGCCCTCTCCCACAGAACCAAAGCACCTTCTGGGCTCCATTTTGTCCAAACTGTCATTAATTTGCAAAGAGGATTTGGTGGACTTAATCCCACTGAACTGGCCATTTGTTTGTGCTGCGCAGAGACTGCATATGGCAGCAGGTGCACCGGGTCTTTAAATGCAGCCAAATTAATTTGGCTTTCAGGTATTTGTTGTTAAGCTCATCACCTACATGCAAACAAAAGCCTCCATAAAAAACATGTATGTAGCTTATTTGTATTAACACAGACCAGGTTAATAATGCTTGCTAAGCTTACAACTTTTGTAAAAGGAAAACTCATAAACTCAAGCATAAATAAAATATATTTTGATGTAGGAAAATTATAATTGCTGTAAACCTTTAAGGACTTTGTTTATTTGCCTACTTTTAGTCTTAATTCGAAAGTAAAATAAAAACCATAACGACCCATTGCAACAAATGTAAACTGAGCATTACATAATGTTATCCTGCCACAGGTTGTATCTTCTGAGGTATGTTTATGACCAGATCAATGTTAACTGTCTGTCCAGAATGATAAAATGTTGTTGAGGCTCAAACCAATGTTAAGTCAGGACAGTGCGACACACTCTGCAAACATATTGGATTTAAACATTAGTTGTGCCCCGGGCCAACATTTTATCCCTCCGAGCAGTTAGGAGACATCTGTAGGCTCACAAAAAATATATTTGAAGATACAATCTGCTGCTGCTGCTGGAGAACAGGTATATAAAGTTTGATTTTCCTCAAAGGTTTCTGTAGGGAACCTTATGTGGATAATAGAGTAATTTATAGGGTTGTGTGGTCAACTACAGGGCTAAATTGAAGCAGGATGTTGGTTTTCAAACAGTTAAGACAACCTTCTTTAAAATCGGGGATTGGTTTTTAACCTGTGTCTCTTGACTGGTCAGACAAAAAAAACAACGAAATTAACATTTCATAAAGCTTATTGTCAAAGCATGTGTTATCTACACGAGTCAAGTACCATTATATATTAACCAACCAACCTAATAAGGAGTTTGATCTGCCTAACAACAGCAACCTTGCTGATCACACACACACACACACACACACACACACACACACACACACACACACACACACACACACACACACACACACACACACACACACACACACACACACACACACACACACACACACACACACACACACACACACACACACACACACACACACACACACACACACACACACACACACACACACACACACACACACACACACACACACACACACACACACACACACACACACACACACACACACACACACACACACACACACACACACACACACACACACACACACACACACACACACACACACACACACAATATATATGCCGTTAATAACTGTGAAATATATACCTGGTTGCTACTGTAAATCTTCAGAACTGTTACAGGATGTGTATTTTGTAAATTGTGTAATTTTTTTTATATTTAATATTTTTTATCCATGCTTCTTAGTTAACATTAAGCTGTCTTTGGCTCTTTTCTGCTGTAACAAATGTAAATTTCCACTCTGTGGGACGAATAAAGGTATTCTGATTTTGATTCTGTGTGTGTGTACCCAACAGGAAGTGTGTGAAGAACAAGACATAAAGTTATCGAGTAAAAATACACACAAGCAAACAAGACCAATGGACATTAGTCCCCATGTACATATTATATTCCTTGCTCAAGGACATCTCTGCATTGCCCAGAAGGGGAACTGGCCGGTCTCCAGCGACCAGAACATACACTTTTTGTATTGGTAAGTCCCTACAGGCTGAGCGACTGCTGCCCAGCGTGTGCATGTGTGTCAAGGTAGATGGATTGTGTCAGCTATCTAGTCCTGGCATTGACAGTGATGGTATGATCTGGCTGGTATCATGCAGCAACTCACCACGGCACAGAAATAAAAACTGATGGAGTGTCTGGGTCAGTGACCTTGAATGCTGTTGGACGGTTAGATGGTGAGATGGATGGTGGTCTGTATGACAGCTGCTAACAGGTTTGGCACCCACACCCGCATTATTTATTTACGCTATATAACACCATGACACAATGTATTAAGTACACAATCATTCAACTTTTAGTTTACTGCACTGCCACGCCATATATGTGGATGCTAGGGTTGTATACATTGATTTTAGCTTGATTGTTTAGTCTAAAAGGATTTTAAGGGTAGAAGTATCTCCATTGCATTTGGACATTGTTGAACATCTCTTGTTTAAATGGACTACAGGTAAAACAGACGATTAATAGTAGTATTTAATTAACTCCTAAGAACCATTGTGTTTTCAAATGTGGTACAAGTAAAAGGGACAATCAGTTCTTAAGGCAATCTTGACTATTTAGACTTGCTTCTAAATTAACTCTTTTGTCCCAACACCCTTAACCTGGTACGCTTTTTTTGTATTCAATATTAAAGGTCACCTATTATGCAAAATCCACTTCTTCCTGTCTTTTCTACATAAACATGTGTCCCCTCTGTGTAAAGAGATTCTGAAAGTTTCAGGAAAAAAGGATTCGCTCACTCTTTGTCCTGATCCATTTATATAAAAACCTGTCTGAAAATGAGCTGATCAGATTTTGGCCACTTTATGATGTCATAACGATTTCTTGGCTTGTGTAACCATTAGCCAATCAGCAACCAAGGTAACACCCGCCCACCTTATCACCTGAATCTCCTCCTAGAGCACCATTGTGTTCTTTTTAACCAAATATCTCGCAGAGGGGCGTGGGGAGGGGCTCCTTATTTTCATCTAAAGTAAAAGACAGAGAATCAGCACTTTTGAAACAGGGCTGAAACAGAGGGGTTTATGGGATGCTGCAATGATCTGTTTGGTGCCAAACACTTCAGAGACATGTTTTGTATATATCTGAGACCTATAATATATTGATGAAAAACAGTATAATAGGGGACCTTTAAGTAGGACACAATTTCAGGATTTTGACAGACGATATTTAAAAGTCTGAAAATGGTGGTCATCGTAACTCCCAATGGACACAAGGTGTTGTAGAAATCAACAATAGGAAGTGAACCAAGTTTCTGATGTGATTTTTGGCAACAGGCAAAAAAGCTTGGGTACCTGTGTTATTATTCGCAATGCTTGATGTTTGCTAGACCCCTGCAGGTGCTCCTTGGACCTGAACCAAAACAGAGTCATGGAACACTACCTGAATACGAAAAGAGACCCTTATTAGACCTCTGAAAAGCTCTACCTCTCTCCCCCAAATAACAAGGCAGAGGCGGTACATACCAATTGATATTATTACGTAATGATTGGCATCCTTTCGATCACACCACCACTGAGGTTTGAATTAAAAAACGTAAGGCTGTAGGTATTCTCTTAGCCTGCTGATAAGAGTTCAAGCAAGTTGCAGAGACCTGGAACTGTCATGTTTTGCACAACTCAAATTACAGTTGTGGAGTGTGCTACACCTTCAAAGATGGTGATTAAATTATGGGGAGAACTGGGACAAGTAGGAGAGCTGATGAAATTAGAAAGTGACTGAAATAGAAACAAGACAACTGAAGAGAGTTGGAACAAATATTGTTCTTGTTGCAATATAAATGTATAGGACATCATCTATTTACTTTTTTCTTCTCAACTTGTTTAGCTATCTCTTACTTGGTGATGACCAATCATAACTGAGAAACTAATTTGATCATCTCGGAACCAGAATACCTCATTCATGCCACCCATGGCTGCCATATTGCATACACACAAAAAAACAGTTGTACTTTTTAAGAGTGTGTGTGGACTCCAGACTTGTTAAAATTGATTGTTATGGTCATCTCTAGGGGTACAGGAAATCTCACGATTCGATTTCTTGGGGTCACGATTCGATTCACAATCGATTCGCGATTCAAAACGATTCACGATTCAAAATAGCTCAGGAGTCCGCCCTGTGAAGAGCGGACAGAGTGAAGAGGATTTCCTGGTGTCATTTCCTGGTTGCTGCATAAAGTCGAAGTGCCATGTTAGCGGAACATTACGGAGCTCACGCCGTAGAAAAAATGGAAAACAGCGTTGCGGCGAGACTGAAAAATGTGAACCGATTCTTAATTGGCAGAGATAGAATCGCGATTCTTATGCGATTTCTTTGCGCACCCCTAGTCATCTCTGTTTTTTAGTTGGTGGAAAAATTAGCCAAATGGCTCCAACTATATAAACCAGTCACATATTATTTCTTTGATTTTTTGGAGGAATACTTCTCTGTTGTCCAGATATTGATGTGTAGTCTATATAAGTCATGCTGAGGACACAAGGACATACATTTCCACTTCTGAGCTACCAAAATAAATGTTCTCCATAAACCAAACTCCCACATCTCTTTTCTTATGAATATGGAAGACTATTGTCCATTTATGAAAGCAGAACCCACAAGTTTCACTATGCCTTGAGGAGAACTTAAATTCATTTGGCAGGAAGGTCAAAGTAATTAAATAATAAGCAGACAATGTGGTTCATGGCAAGGAGAGAATATATGCAAACTGGGCTTCGGGAAAAAGCGGTTCATTTCAATAAAAGTATTATAATACATGCCGCATTTCCGGGACCCCATTACCAAAAATATGCGGTCCATTAATGAGTTTTGTTGGGGTGTAATTTGTTTTCCAACATATACAAAATAAATTCATACTTGTTATTGTACTTGTGCTTGTTTGGCTGTCTGCCCAAAAGTGGTCATTAAGAGGCAATGCAATGTTTTAAAGAAAATTTGAGGGGATTGCGAAAATCCTCAGGGTCGTAGCATTTGTTCATTGTAACCTAAGGGAAGCCATTTTAAAGTTAACAAGTATTTCGATTGGGAGCTCACAGCAGAGAAAAAACCTCAACAAGCCTAACAATAATCCAGACATGATGAGATGAAAGCATGGATAACGCTTTTTTCATTTGAGAAACTGACAAGGTTTAAGCCCTCAGCTGAATACATTTGTTTTTCCACAACATTGCTTAAATTTATGATATTCGAGGGGGAGGATAAAAAGTAATTTTTTTGGCATGTGGGTCGGCATGTGAAGAGGCTGAATTAAAAAACATAGTTGAGTAGAGGTTTGAGGTCATTACTGTGTGCACTGAAAAAACTGAAATGTTGACTTTAATTAAATGTATTATGTCAACAGATTTCTCAACTGTATTAGGTTAGTTAAAAGTAATAATATTAAGTTTGAATACAAATATTAGGTTCAACTTATTATTATTGCTTTCAACTAACCTAATACAGTTATGTGAAGACATAATACATTTAATAAAGTGTCACAGTATGGTGGCTTTTGAGGTCATTAGACTTAGGCTGGTCAAATGTTTACATTGAGTAAAAGTTTTGTGCTCTTCTACTCTACTTCTACTGCTATATCTTACAATATTATGGATCGGGGATTTTCAATGTTTGACACTGTGGCGACAAGTACATAATGCAACAAAGGTGCCCTTGCAAAAATATGCAGGAATAGGAAGGCGAGAATGCTGCGTCATATCTTTAGTATGTTTATCTCTAGAGATATTTAGTGTGTACTCAAGTTTGTATACAGCTTTCTTACGGATAAACACAATGGTTCCATTCATCAGAGCCAGGAAGATGGATTTGCGGGTCGTTCTCTAGTTTTTTGCAACTTTGGATTTAGTCCAATCATGTGACGTTACAAGGAGCGTACAATTCCCAGTTCCACAGTAAGCACACAGATGGCTAAGCCTCACGTGAAGATGATAATGCAGCAGCTTTTTGTGACAGGCTCAGAGTTTCATCAGTGTGGTCCAACTGCACATATTGTTGCCTTCTGAATGACAGGCGTGAAATATACGCAGTAAATATTTCAACACTACATGTATAAAAGACAGATAGCAGTCATACTCAGCCCTTAGAAAATGGCCCTGTATGTGGACAACAGTGCCCACATACTTTAAAGCCTTAAGGTGTGTCGATAAGAGCTCATTCTGTCTGCAGGTTTGCTTTTTTGTATTAGCTCATTCAGACACAGCACAGAGGACCCTGGAGACTCGCCATCTCTCTCACTCTGTCAGACATACAAACACAACAGAGAGGAGAAAGAAAAACAAAGAGAAAATGGAGACAGAGCGACGAAAAAGAGGTTAGAGATGGAGAGTGCGAAGTGTCAAAGGGAGTCCAAGGCAGGGAGAGCACATTGTTCCTGTCTAACACATTCAGCGCTCACCTCCAGCTGACGCTCCCTGCAGCGTGGGCCTTTCACAACTTATCAGACTCCTAGAAATGACTCCCCAACGCCAGGAATTTACTGCCAAATCGAATAATTACTTTGCAGACTTTGGTGGCTATTGTATTATGGGAGCCTATTCACACTCAGAGTCTCCAGTGACTGTGACCCCAAGTCAAAATTGTCAATTTAATCATAATTAATAATGGCACTGCTGCAGCGTTTCAATCCTGCGAGTCAAAGTCATTAAAATGGCTCCAAGAAGTCCTGGACTTTATCGTCTGCAGGAAGTAATCAAGTTTGGATAGGCTTCAGTAATTCATTAATATAGCACCTCCAGAAAATGAAAAGGAGGGAAGGGTGACTTTGTCCACAGGAAATTTGTTTCTTCAGAGATTCTAGGACAAATCCCTTTGTTTGATAATCAGGCACGGTGAAAAAGTGCAAAAACAATTATGAGGTTAATTCATTCCACATATTTATTTATAATTCCAATAGTCTATTCTTTCTTTGTAGTGGAATTGGTTTAAATTCTGGAGATTTACCAAGGAGTTATTTTTTAATTGAATAAAGTCATGGTGGACGACAATTTAATATGCAGAAAGAAGTCCAATCATTTTACAGCAAAAAAAAAAAAACACATTTATTTTCTTTCTTCAGAAAACACCATGGAATGCTCCATCATGGCATTATAATTTATATATTTGTGGAAAGAAGAAAAGTATAGATTTCTGATGGTTTAAGTGTCCACAGTAAAGAAAAGAAAGGGAACAAAAACAAGAATAAAGTACAAGAGAAGGAAAGAGAATGACGGACACAGAGAGCTAGCCGACAGATGATTCAGCTTGGCGTTGGGTTCCACCTCAACCTGTCGGGGTTCTTCTTACTATAATGACCGTCTCACTGCAGAGTTTCCCTTACTTCATTGTGAGTTTCTTCGTGGAGATGTGTGCTTACCTTGAAAGCTCCCGACTGACAGGTAAAGCCAGGTGAGTGCTGGGATGAAGAACAAGGCAAGAGAAGCCGCCAGGAACTTCCTGCGCCCACGACACATTCCCAGCATCCTCTGGACCAAAGCAAATGGAAAGAGAGGTGAAGTGACCTCTATGTGGGGAGCAGCTGTTGTCCAGGCTGATTCATGGCACTGGGGAAAGAAGAGAGAAAGAAAAAACATTCATTTGACATTCTGTACAGACAGAACTACAGCTGAGCACATGGCTTCTGCTGTATCCAAAAGAAAATACATCAGAACCTCTTAAAATGTTTTATCTATGATTATTTTGTACCATTAACTATTATTCATTCTTGGTCTAAAATAAATAATGTTGTGTATTTAATGGAAAAATTATACAATTTACAGAATACGGAAAAGGCGTTTTCAACCATCTAATTGTTTGTATTTCACCAATTTTTAAATGGTAGGTCTGGAACACATAACAACGATTGGGGCACCATATTTGGTTGGGTTGCATCATAATGACAATGTACAAACACAGACCAAGCTATGTAGTTGGCATAAAAACCAGTATCTTATCTCAAGTTCCAAAGAATGTCTTGACACCAGTTTGCTACTTCTTATAATGAAAATACCCAGGGACTAGTTTGAAAAATGAGTTATGCAGGTATCACATCATTGGAGCGAGGAATTCATTAACATAATGTAATTTTACTCGCAAGGGACTAACAATGTCTTTATAAAAGCATTTCATTTTGGTTTACACGGGTCATTGTGTTTCTTTCTGTATTAACTTCACCAATTGTGGATCTGCACCTTTAGAGGTTTGGGCTGAAATTAGATAACCACTGGTACATCTAATTAGACAAGACACATTAGGGATAGACATCGCCAAATGGTGGATCCATTCATATATCATTTAAACTAGACACTGAAACATATACAACCGCAAGCCCGAAGAAGTTCAACCCTTGTTTAAATAGATTCACGTTGCTTGAACAGTTACATACTAATCTGACTTTGATGACCTAGACTCATTTGTCAATCCTACTGTGATGCAGGGCAGAGAGTATAGGGGTCTCATTATATGATATTAGTCGAAATCCTCTTTCCGTTACAACCACATTTGTCCAATTACCCTGTTGACCTCAGTCGATTTCTAATCTTCACCAGAGACTGCCAAGGGATGAAACTGAATACCTCTGTGCGACACTTTGGAGGGTGGCATAAACACAAGACAGGATGCCAATTACCACCAAGTAGAATGCAGTATAATGTATTTCCAGCACTCTTCCCAGCACTTACTGAATCTCCAGGGATATTGTGGCCTGGGCAATGAGAAGAGCTCAGAGTGAGACAGGGTTAAGTGAGGCTAAAGAAGATTAAACAAGTCTCTCAAGTACGACAACCACTGGTTTGATAGCCGGACTATGAATCATTTCAGAGCTCCTTAGCCTTTGACCTCCGTTTGATATGAGCTCTCTACTGGATGCTGTGATTTACATTGCAAATGCTACACTAAAGCCATTTATTAGCATATTAAAGTGAGGTGTCATGCCATTGTGTACACTAAGTAGATCCAGTCATACAGGGATTAAGAGAGAGAAAAAGCATTATGTAGCAAGAAGGAGCTCAGACTGAAGAGCAGCAGCCAACTGAAGGAAACGTTTGTCTTCAGCTATTAGCGTCTTTGCTAAAATGTGGCACAGCTTCAACAGTTGTGGCAGCTTTAAAACAGCAGCACAAAGACAGACAACGAGACAACTGTACAGTAGGACTATTTGCATGCACACCTAAATTAAGTACATCAGGTCAAATCTGAAACCTGCTATACCTGAGACCTTGGTTTTGGTCGTATAGTCTTTTTTGCTAAGGTAAGTTCCAAACGAAGTTGAAGCAATGATAAGAGCTGTTTTAATTATCTATTTTTTTGGAAATTAGATTAAACGCTTCTTATCTTTATAAGCATAGGAAAACACTGGACCATCCTTTATGAAAGGGAAGGAGACTATGCTTCCACAGACAACTTGCGGGCTGCAACATTCAAAGTGACAAAGCACTTCACGGAAACAACCAAAGTAAGTGCAGTTGGATTCTCTTAACACCCAGTTGACTTTTTCTCAGTCCTGATGAGTCTCTTTCACATCAATGAGGTTGAAGGAAAGTGGTTAGGAAAAGAGAAAGGACTCTATTTGATTTACTTTTTGCAGCCCTGGGGGATATTATAAATGAAAAGGTAAGGGTGGTCTTCACAGTCAGTCAGCCCAGAGGCCTCTTAAAGTGCGTCTGATGGCAGTTTCTAATCTTATTACCAGGTTTGACAGATTGAGATTAAGGAGGCCCATTTTTTGGTATTAGGTATGAGTTTAAAACTATAAATTCTGGTTTATTTCTGATAGAAGATAGTAGATAATTATTGTAGTGTGTGGGATTAGTGTTACAACTCGAGATGGGCAATTTGAATTAGATTTAGGACGTTATTGCCCAATGTTATTACATGTTGCTGTTTATTAATCGGCTTATGTACGCTTTGTGTTGTAGACATGCCACAAACTGTTTAATGAATGAAAGACCATTTACTTTACTTGCTTTATATAAAAGCCCCAATCCTTCCTTAAAGTCACAAACATTTACAATCTGTGACTGAATTTAGCTTCACATGACATCCAATATTTTCTAATCTTGGCCAGTACTAAAACTAATGTGATAATCGTAGCCTGGCTTCAGATTTATTGTCATTGCTAGAGATGTCAATGGTGAGACTTCCCTTGTGGACAAACAATAAGTTAATAGAAAATTGAATTTTATATCCACAGCTCAATAGTAAATAGCTGTGTGTTGACACTAAAAGTGATGAGCGATGATTATTGGAGCAGCGGGTTATTGGTAGAAAAAGGCCATAGGGAAACATGCTGAGAGAGTCTGATTGAATTTCTCTGTGTTAAGGAAGCCGCTTCACTGGAGCTAGGAAATGCTCTGATGCTAAATTTACAAAGGTTAGAAATATAACTGGCTCTGACAGGCGATTTTATTTCATCTGCAGACTCTCTTTTCTTAAAACACTTCAAAAAGAGATTTGGACAAAGGTACCTAACATCAAGACGAATCAAATACACAGTGTTTTCGACACTTCAAAAATCCACAGTCCTTTATCTGCTACCTTTATTTATGGAAACATATAAATACCAAGCATGCTAAATGGTCAGTATAACCACAGGAACAAATACAATCTTTTCATCAATTTATCTGCACATTGAGTTTTGGTTTTATGTGTCAAGGTTTTACTTTACTTGTCCTTTTATGGTTCTGTCCCTTTACCGAAAACAATATAGAACAATACAATGTCCTTTCTGGGGTTTACAAGACTTGATGTAAACCGGTCCTTAGAAAACTGTCCATCAAATGAAGGTAGACTCATAACTTTGCAAGGACGGGACTTGGGTATAACGTGAACAAAGCATTAGACTATGTCATTGGGGATCACTCTTCTTTTCTCATCAGCAGTCAAGTTGATTAATGTTATTCATGACCACAATTGCCAACTAACACTATATAAGTGGATATCTTAAACCAAACCACTTGTTTTCCATTAGTAGTTTCAGTTTTCTCAACCATTTTCAAGAATCTTATACTTGTACTTACTCTAATAAAGATATTAACCACGACCTTCTGCCTTTTTGTGATGGGCAAAGTCCGTTCTTTGTCTTCTTTGTCATTTCTGATTTCTGCCAGTCCCTCCATACACAACTCTGATATGTCCATACCAGATGAATACCGTTCTACCCATAATCCTCAAATCAATCAGTCCCTGGATGCTGATCTTTAAATATCATAGCATGCATAGTCTTTCCGTCAGACCTACTTTTGCACAAACTGCCAACGTGACCACCATAATATCCATGGACATACACCTGAGAGTTTTAATGAACCATCTGTCAGCTTTACTCCACCACCACCACCTCCAGTGTCTAGACTCTGTATGATCCTGTCCTAGCTCTTCTAACCTCTGTAAGGCTCTTAAGACAGTAATGTGATATGTAGATAATGCTAATTAATACAATAAAGAAGCTGAAGATTATAAAAAGCTTAAGACAATCAATGATTGTTATTGGCCTAACAAATAGCAGACATTCCGGTTCTTTCTCTAGAAGTAGAATGGTGTACAACAGAGACCAATGTTTGCAATGATTGTTTGTTCAGGGTCTTGGTTGTTTGACTATAATGACTGATCAGATTTTTGACATCCAACATGACCTGCAGTATAGTGAAAGGCCTGCAACAGAGGTCCTTAGACGGACTTGCACCATTTACATTCAAAGTTGATCTTCGGCACTGTAAACCCCTCGGCAATCAGTTCGTCCATAAACAAACTTGACTGCTACGATCTGAATGAGCAGACAGCCAATCACGTAACTGGCCCCGTTAGCCTTGATTGTCAAATAAATCAGGAAAAATGTGGAACAAAAACACTTGGGATTAAGGACTTTTCGAATAAAATACTGACTGTATAAAATGAAATGTGCTGCTATAAAATCCAGTACTGTGTAAATGACAGGATGAATTAACATCTCAGAGTAATGAGCTAAGCTTTGAACATTTATTGGATTATTCCATTATTTTATAGTCATATAAATGTCATGAATTAATTTCTTTATTCATGTATTTATTCTATTGACTCTCTTATCTATTTATAACTGAACTGTGTGATTTATTTTTGTATATATATATATATAAAATTGTATAATACTACATATTTTCACAATTGGGGCACTTTCTTGATATTTTAAACCAATTTTGCCTAAACCGATAGCATCCTCGTTCAGTTTCTTTATGATCGTGGGCATATTCTTGGGCACAGAGGCTTATTTTTAACAGGGATCAGTATGTGTGACAAAGAAAATCCTTAACATCCACTTTTTTTATAGATATTTCAGCCACACCTCACAGTTGCATATGGTCAAAATCAAGTGACCTATGACAATCAGTTATAATGTGACTCAATATTAAGGTCACAAGCTGACACTCTAGCAAATAAAATTAACTTAAGAAGACCATAAGAGGCGGTAGACCAGAAAAAAGGGGCCAATTTTTCAATCAGTGATAAATACACAAAGCGCACAATGTGGTGTGCATATTAATGCAATGCAGAGGCATAACAGTGAATGGTGGCCCTCTGTTCTGTGGAGCCA